CTCTCTTCATCCCATCTCAATTGCTCCAGATCAAGCACAATGGCATCAATTCTCCCCCGTGTTGGCTTCCGCGCCTTGACCGCTCTGCCCAGAGCCACCCCCCTTCCCCGGGTGTCTTTCACGCAGCTTCCTCGCGTGCAGCCCCGCGTTCAGCCCCTCACTCGCCGGTTCCTCACAACCATTCCCCAGGAACAGCCTCGTCTGCGTCTTGGATCGACCGGTAGGTCTACCTATTCAACTACCTTGCACCACTTGGATGCATACTGATCAGCGTAGCCCCCAACTTCAAGGCCCTTACCACCCATGGCGAAATTGACTTCCACGAGTTCATCGGCAACAGCTGGGCCATTCTCTTCTCCCACCCGGCCGACTTCACCCCCGTCTGCACCACCGAGCTGGGTGCTTTCGCCAAGATGAAGGATGAGTTTGAGAAGAGAGGCGTCAAGATGATCGGTCTGGTGAGTGGTCTGGTATTAGAATTTCTGGTCTGCCGCTAACAGTCAATGAACATCTAGAGCGCCAATGACCTCAGCTCCCACGACCAGTGGATTGATGACATCAAAGAGGTTGCCAACACCAACGTTCAGTTCCCTATCATCGCCGATGCCGACCGCAAGGTCGCCTTCCTTTACGACATGGTTGATCAGCGCGACTTGGACAACATTGCTGAGAAGGGCATCCCGTTCACCATCCGCTCCGTCTTTATCATCGACCCCGAGAAGAAGATCCGTCTCACCGTGTCGTACCCGGCCTCCACTGGCCGCAACTCGGCCGAGGTCCTGCGTGTCATCGACTCTCTGCAGACTGCTGACCGCAAGGGCATTGCCACTCCCATTGACTGGCAGGTGGGCGAGGATGTGATTGTTCCTCCTTCGGTGTCGACTGAGGATGCCAAGAAGAAGTTTGGCGAGGTGCGCGAGCTGAAGCCGTACCTGCGTTACACCAAGTACTAAGTGCTTGGGTGAAAAGAGGGATTGTAACAACAATAACATGTGCAACAAAATATATATCAATGGAATAATATTGTTCTAGAACACCTCCGAAGTAAAGAAGGTCTATTAACGTAGCCAGTCAGGTGATAACTCCCCAGGGTCCAGTCCCTGAATAGCCCGCACTAGTCCCAATCCAGCCACACCCCAAAAACGACCGACTCCGCACTAGACCCAAAACAGCAAATCCAATACAAAAAGGGTTTCAAATCGGGCGAATTTCTGTTTATCGCCAGACGCGCCGCCGCCTTGAGCTGACATGTCCTTTTCCTCTCTTCATTCATTCAATTGCTCCCGGTTCCTGGCGATCCCGTCTTGGTTACCCCGAGACTGCTCAGCTAATTAATTAGCCATACTCCGGAGATCGTATCCCATCTCACCCGATTTCCCGTACATTCCGTCCACTGTTCTCCTTCAGGGGCACTCCGTCAGCGTGGGACGGTGGCAGTTCTAGACTGTGACCGGCGGGGCAACCCAACATTCCACACTGTGTTCTCGCTCCGGCACACCCGGATCTGCCGATTGGATTTGATTAATTTACTTTATCTGACGCCCACATTCCTTTATTCCTTTACGCCTCTTATTCGTTCCGATAAAGTTCCCGGCTGCACTGCATGCCGAGCCACTCCCGCAGTCGGGACCGGTTGAGTCCCAGCAGCGAGCTGGACGATGCCGATCCCGTTTACTCTCCCTCGGTGTACCAGAGGGAACATTATAATAACAACGATTCGTTGTTTGACTCCGCTGAGGAAGACTACGCCCGTGCACCACGAAATGTCTATAGTTACGAGACCCATGATGAATATCACGATGACGATGATGATGATGATGATGACAATGTCCATGAGGATGACCACGACCGTGAATACGATGATAAGTTTGGGGAGCCTTGGGTTCCGTTACGCGCTCAGGTCGAAGGTGATGCATGGAGAGAGGGGTTTGAGACTGCCATTCCCAAGGAAGAGGATGTTACTCAAGCGAAAGAGTATCAGTACCAAATGAGCGGGGCGCTTGGTGATGATGGACCTCCATTGCCATCCGGGTCTCTGGGTAAGGGAAAGGGAAAGAAGCGATTGGATCGAGAGACGCGACGGCAGAGGAGGAAAGAGAGGCTTGCGGCGTTCTTCAAACATAAGAACGGAGGTGCATCGGCGGGATTGGTCAGTGGGGATGCCCTGGCAAAGCTGCTTGGGTCACAGGATGGTGATGAGGATTGCTTGAGCCATCTGGGCAGTGAGCGTGCGGACTCAATGTCACAAAAGAATTTGGAGGGTGGTAGGCAAAGGAAACTTCCGGTTCTGAGTGAGGAGCCAATGATGCTTCGGCCGTTTCCTGCGGTAGCGCCGACGGGACAGACGCAGGGTAGGGTAGTGTCTGGGGCGCAATTGGAACAGGGAGGCCCCGGTATCGAGATGCGACATCGTGGTGGAGGTGGGCCGCCTACAGAGGCGTTGCTCCAGAAAGAGGGTGACTGGGATGGTAGCACGAAAGGTTCTTCTGCCTCTACGAGGCCGTCGTTCTGGAAGCGATATCACAAAACCTTCATCTTCTTTGCAATATTAATAGTCATGGCAGCTATAGCGATCCCAGTGGGAATCATCGAGGCAAGAAGGCTTCATGGAACGAATGGAGGCGACAATACTTCAAATTCTAATCTGAAAGGGATTAGTCGTGATAGCATTCCGGTATGTTTGCTCTACTTTCCCATGCTTGGAGAGATACTGACCATAACAGGCCTATGCTAGAGGGACGTATCTCGATCCATTTACATGGTACGATACCACTGATTTCAATGTGACCTTTACAAATGCCACCGTTGGTGGTTTGTCTATTATGGGTCTGAACTCGACGTGGAACGACTCAGCCCAAGCGAACGAAAACGTGCCACCTCTGGACGAGAAGTTTCCGTACGGGTCGCAACCTATCCGCGGTGTCAACCTTGGAGGCTGGTTGTCGATCGAGCCCTTCATTGTCCCTTCGCTTTTCGATACCTACACTTCAAGCGAAGGAATAATCGACGAGTGGACGCTATCCAAGAAACTCGGCGACTCAGCTGCCTCAGTCATCGAAAAGCACTATGCCACATTCATCACCGAGCAAGACTTTGCTGACATCAGAGATGCCGGGCTCGATCACGTTCGGATCCAGTTTTCATACTGGGCCATCAAGACATACGATGGCGATCCGTATGTCCCAAAAATAGCATGGCGCTACCTCCTCAGGGCCATTGAATACTGCCGTAAATACGGCCTCCGAGTCAACCTCGATCCCCACGGAATCCCAGGGAGTCAGAATGGCTGGAACCACAGTGGTCGACAGGGTATGATCGGCTGGCTGAATGGAACCGATGGAGAACTAAACCGACAACGATCTCTCGAGATGCATGACCAACTCTCGCAGTTCTTCGCACAGGACCGATACAAGAACGTCGTGACGATTTACGGCCTCGTAAACGAACCGCTCATGCTTTCCCTGCCTGTCGAGAAAGTTCTCAACTGGACAGTAGAAGCCACCAACCTGGTGCAGAAGAATGGTATTAAAGCTTGGGTCACCGCCCATGACGGCTTCCTCAACCTGGCGAAATGGGATAAGATGCTCAAAACTCGACCAAACAATATGATGCTTGACACCCACCAATACACCGTCTTCAACACGGGCGAAATCGTCCTCAATCACACCAGAAGAGTGGAGCTCATCTGCGAAAGCTGGTACTCCATGATCCAACAGATCAACATTACCAGCACGGGGTATGTATCTTTACGGTCTATCCCACCCACACAACTTACTGACCTTAGCTAGATGGGGCCCGACCATTTGCGGTGAATGGTCCCAAGCCGACACCGACTGTGCTCAATACGTTAACAATGTCGGCCGCGGTACTCGTTGGGAAGGTACCTTCTCTCTTACCGACTCGACTCAGTACTGTCCCACAGCCAGCGAGGGAACCTGCAGCTGCACGCAAGCGAACGCTGTCCCCGGCGTCTACTCGGAAGGATACAAGACGTTCCTCCAAACCTACGCCGAAGCACAGATGTCGGCTTTTGAAACCGCCATGGGGTGGTTCTACTGGACCTGGGCAACAGAGTCTGCAGCACAGTGGAGCTATCGGACGGCATGGAAGAACGGCTACATGCCGAAGAAGGCCTATAGCCCGGCCTTTAAGTGCGGGGATGCCATCCCTAGTTTTGGCAATCTGCCGGAATATTATTGAGACTTCATCTGTTGTCTCATCTTGGGCTTTGGCGTCGGTAGTCATGTATTATGGTTTTATGAGCGTTTGTCATTGCATATAGGTTTTCTTTATACATTATATATTTATGAATATCAACGGAGTTGGTTTAACAACTGAACCTGTTATATCTAATAAATGCCAAGAATGGCCCATCCAACAAGTGACGGATAGGCCCGACCGTGGCTCGAAATCCTTCATTTAGCGAATGCGGGGATTTAATATGGGATGCGGGGATGGCCCCCGACCGAAATTAGACTAGCCCGCGCTCACCTCTACAAGGCAACTCTTTCCGTGTTTCCTCATCCACTTTCTCTCGCTCTCAATAGCACCAGAGCCCCCATGACCCCATCACGCAAACCACGACATCGTCTGATCGCTGGATGGTAATTATCCAACCACCTATCATCATTCCTAGATTGCTACGCTAACCCATCCCTCCAGTCAAAGATGTCGGAGTAAGTTCCTAGACCGCCCAGGATGGAAGAGATTCATAATTTGAGGACTAATTCTTCTCTTGTCTAGTCCGTCATCTGAAGTGTTAGTACCACCCACAAATAGGTCTATTGTACAGAACTGACACGTCTATCCTACAGGCGACACCAATTCTCCAGCTTGCAGCCATTGCCTCCGAGCAGGTATAGACTGCGACAGAGGAGTAAACGTGCGCTTCCGGAGCGGACTAGACATCTTCGGTGATGATGATGCTCTCTTCCCGGAGAGGGGTTTGTGGCCATACTTGATGGGTCCACGTTAGTGACCCCTTTGTCTCTTTGGCGGTTGGTGGTGTCCAGCTGACCTTCTCAACTTCCGAAGTGAGGTTCGTTGACGAAACCGTCATCATCAAACGATTGTATGAGGTGGAAGAGCCAGAGCATAATGGCCCGACAGAGCAGTCTCGTGGGGTCAATGATGCCCCTATAACTCCAGTCGGTGTTGTGGAGTACCATGGCCTCGAGCAGTATACGTCGCCATTGACGGATGATACCACTCCGATGCAGACTCTGTGCCATGATGGTCGTTCGTCTGAGTTGGAATTGTTGATGGGAAACGTTCTTCAGCAATTTGACAGAGATCCCGGGAAGGACTTACAGACTGGTAATCTGGTACGGGAGCAGAGGCTCTTGTTCAACGAGAGAGAAGCGAAGTTGATGCGGAACTATGTTGAGAATATGGCGTTGTGGGTACGAGCAGATAGTTGGTATTTCAAGTGTTTGTTCTGCCGCTGACCCCTCAAAGGCAGATATAACTGACCCCCATCGACACTTTGAGATAGAGGTGCCTGTGAGAGCAATGCAGGATCCGGTTCTGCGGTATGCGATTTTCGCTTTCTCCTCTCGTCATGTCGAGCGACAAAGGAAGGGAAACGAAGCGGAGGCGCTGCAATATCATAACCACTGTCTGCAGCTGCTGATTCCCACATTATCTGGAACTGGTGGTGATCTGACTGATGTTGTTCTTGCTACTGTTGCTATCCTTCGCCAACACGAGGAAATGGAGTGTAAGTGATGCCGTGCTGTCACAGAAGCATTCACGGCGCTGACTTGATATAGATGACGACAACCAATTCCATTTGACAGGGGCAACGCGTATTATGAATACTGTCTCTTTTGGATCCTCCGGGGGATTGGGTGAAGCGACAGCCTGGCTCTGTCTCCGTGAAGACATTCATGTATGGCTGATCTCGCAAAAGCCCCTACGAACAAATCTGGAAAGCTTCCATCGTTCCGATATCTTCCTAAGAAATGATGACTTTGCGTGGGCAGCTCGGATGGTCTTCCTATTAGCCAAAGTCCTCAAATGTGCTTTCAATCAGATGTCTTCGCCAGAATACACTGCGCTACAGAGTATTGCGCAGGAAGTTGAAGACTGGAATGCCAGAAAGCCGCCGTCCTTTCATCCCCTGCGCGAGCTTCCTCGTGGGAAGGATGTCTCGTGTCGGTTCCCAGAGATGTGGATGTTGCTACCCGTGCACGGTGAGTATTCCGACGTCTGCCCGATTGCGACTAATAATGTTTCCAACTTAGTGGTCGGAACTCAGTACTACCATATCGCCAAGATAGTCCTTGCCTTTGCTTGTTGCCCAAGTCCTCCGCTTGCTTACGAGAGTTTCAGAAATTCGCGAAACATCGAGGTACGTTAGTGTGATTCCAATATGATACTTTCTCCTGACTGTACTCAGAAAACGATACGCTATCACCTGTTCATGGTGCTGGGATTGGCCAAGTCAAATCCCAAAGCGGAGAATACGCTTTTCACCGCACGGCATAGCCTCGTAGCGTGTAAGTGACATGGCAGTCAAGTCATGTGACACGGACTGAGCGCAAACCTTTTTTCTACTCGACTAACAATGGAACTAGGGGGCTGGGTCATTCGGCAAAAGACGGACCAACAGGCTGCAGAAATCCTCCCCAGAGAGATGTGGACGAGAACGGGGTGGGATGTGACGGCATCGATCCAGTCCTTACGAGAGCAATGGGCCGACGAAGAGACGGACAGCTGAACTGACCCGAACATATACCGAAACCCAGGCGTTGTTACTCAAGGAGTGACAGGTGTATCATTCGACAAAACGGGGCACTATGCGCCGTGCCACCTATCTCGGGGTAGGTCGACTCCGACAGCCCCAGCACGTCACCAGCTATTGCCCTTGTGCTGAGCCCAATCAACTGTGGATCTCGACCAGGCAGCAGTCGCCCGCATTGCCCCTGTGATGAGTCTAGCCACGCTGGGATCTTTGCCAGGGTAATCGATGCAGAAACGTTAACAGTGCGTCTCTGTGCTGGATCCTCGCTTCCTCTATCAGCTCTTATTCGTCCGGGCATATGCACCGGTGGACTAGCACCATCTGATCAAGTGGCTAAAAGCTCAAAAGGACGATATGACCGCCAGGATCTGTGACGCATGCCGATTGGCAGATAATGGCCGTAGATATAACTGGCGCTCACGTCTGCTGGGCTGTAGACGTCACATTGGGCATGATTCTACTGCACCAACACATGCGACAACCAGTCGATGCAGTTTCGCGGACCAGTCGAATCCAGCACCAACCTTGAGACTTCATCTGAATCCTATCGGGCACCTCACAATCGGGCCTCATTGTAGCGGTGTAGACATGACACAAATGGCAACGGATCTTGAGATCGCGAACCTAAATGGAACATCGTGCACGCCGGACACCCTGCATATGGGTTCACCTATCACGCGGCGCCATTTCCATGCATGCTGCAGAGATTATCGCGCCACGGAGATTGCCGGCTCCGATAGGGTCCAGGTAGAAGCAACATGAAGCCTGGACCGAAACTTCGAGGCAGATTTCAGGATTTCCAGAAGACTTATGGTAGTTGATCGGAGGAGTATTATCGGGAGCCCGAAAACGTCCATTTCCACCGTAGCAAGCCAAGCAGAGCCCTAATCCGGGTGGATAACAACGCGTATTCGACGTGGAGCCAGGCGGAAATGCAACCATGGAAGCCGGAATTGAGAGCATCGCATCCCCCTCCGTTTTCATCATTTCAGGAGCGCCTTCCCCAGCACTAGCTCCTTCCAGTTCCGCCTGATCGGCTGGGGCGAAATCAATAGTCAGAAGTTGAGAGGTGCCAGGGGAGGCACGTGAAGTCATTGATCATCCATTTGCCCGCCTCGGTTCCGAGTCACGGCTCCGCATATTCACTTGTTAGATGCAAAATGCGACTAGTTAGTTCCCTCCATACCCCTGAAGGTCATTTGCACATCCCATTTCCACACCCCCTCCTCTTCTCCCTTCTCCCCATCTTTTTTGGCCACTGCTAAAACTACTAAAGAAACTCTATTCCCGCTCTCCCGGCCCAATGGACTGTCACTTCCCCCGCATCTTGCAGAGTGCTAATGCCATTCCTTCTCTCCTGCTGCTGTTGCTGCTGCCAACAATAACATCTCTCTATCTACTACTTAGCCATTGATCGAATCAATGCCTGACAACAACACTACTTCTTCCTGGCCAGTAATAGGCTGCCACCGCTTCTCATCCTTCCGGTCCCTTTTCACCTCTGCCGGTAAAATGGATAAGCCTTGTACTACTCCGACTAGTCTCTCGGAGCCTCTACTACCCAACACCATCAATACTACTACTATTACTACCCGCCAACCATACTCACCATCACAACCACAACAACAACAACAACCAGACCTATTCGCATCCAAAATATCCAAACCACTCCTCCACTCACCACCAATATCCGAACCAGAAACACCCACCGAAAACAAAACCGCCTCTTTCATCTGGGAAGACATCAACCCCCCAGCCGAATACTACCTTGCCGACAAATCAACATCAACACCACCCTCACCACCCCCAACCTACACATTCTTCCAACAAGACCAACAACGACAACAACCATCACCACAAGACAAAGAAGCTATGATCGACACAACCACCAGATCCATCCCCGTCTCCCCCCTCCCAGGCTACAACGACGTCAGCGGCGCCGTCATCGTCGACTACGACGGCTTCCCGCACTTCCTTTCCCCCCAGGAAGAAGAGGAAAGGAAAATGAAGCTCCAGCGCGCCGTACAGGAGAAAATGCTCGGCTTACCGAGGCAGACTAGCTTCGAGTGGGAAAGACCCCTGTCTGCTGGGTCAGCCGCCGGGTGGTTGCCGAGGTATTCGCCTGCGAAGAAGGGAGCGCAGCGGTGATACCTGTCCCTACTGGACCATTGCGCGTTCATTCTATTACCGAGTTGACGGTTGGACTGTATGCTGAGTATTGATTTGTCTGTTGATGGATCGAGAAGCATACGTGCTTACCGGCTGCTTTGCGCTCGATAGGGGAGTTCGTGGGGAATGTTCGTGCAAGAGGATATATCCGAAGGTGTGATTACTCACTACCTTACCTATTGCGCTGCAGCAAAGCATTACGATTAATAAATTATGACCGATACGACGATTCCCAAGAGGGAGAAGAACAGAAGACAGACAAATGTCGGGGAAGTCGAACCAAACTGTGACTTTTGTTGTTGTGTTGTGTTGTTGTGTACCAATCCCACATACCATACATAGTAATCAATCCAAGCTATATACACTCCACACTTTTCCCCCCACTAAACAACTCTTAGATATAAGAAAAAAAAGGCAATCAATACTATACACCCAAAGTAAGCAGGCTCTACTTAGCTCCTAAACAACCGCAATCCACCCTCTTCTCTATCCTCCTCACTCTCCTCCGCACCACTCTCTTCATCCCCACTCTCCTCCCTCAACAGCCCACTGGCCGTCTTGCCCAACAACGACGCAAAGAACTCCTCGCGCGCATGCTTCGTCCAACTACCACGATCCTCCGGCGCCATGAAATTCTGCAACTTCTCATGAACATCGAACCGCATCTTGCGACCCTTCGACGCCCGCGTATCCACATCCCGCTTGACCTTGTCCTTCCGCATCCCCGTCACAGGGTGGATCGCTGCTCCGCCGCGCGTCGGCAGTTGTATATGCAGGGTATCGAGGCCGTTGGTGATCGCATCGGAGGATGCCATGCGCTGCTCAACGAGATCGCGGAGTAGGGATTGGTAGAAGACGGTGTCGTCGTAGATGGGGGTAGTGGCTGCTGCGCCTTCGGCGGCAGTGGTGGTGGTGGTGGTGGTGTCTTGACGGGCGCGCTTAGCGGCGCGGGAATGGTCGCCTGTTTCGGTCGCGACCTGGGCGTCCAGGACGGCGGTGATGGACTGCGCGCCCGATCCGGATGGGTTGATGAGCTTGCCGCGGGTGTTGGCGGCGGTCGTGGCGGTCGAGCCGCGGACTTTGGCGGACCATTTGTCGAGGATGGTGCGGCGGTGGGTGGTCGCGGCGGATTCGAGATCGGTCATGCGTGTCCAAAGCGTCGCGGTGGGAGTGTCGGTGTCGACGCGCTTGCGCTTCTTGGGTTCCTCTGTGCTACCGTTAGTGTTGTGGGCGTCGGCGAGCGCAACGCGCAGGTCTTCGAGCGTGGACCAGAGTGCCAGAGCGGCGGATTCGGCGGAGGTGATGGCTTCTTCGGAGTCTGCGTCGGGGGAGGTGGCGGCGAGGGAGAGCTGGTTTATGGCTGTTAGGCCCTTTTGGAGCTTGATTCGGGTGTTGAGGAGGGCGTCGAAGGTCGCGCGTTGTTGCTTCACGGCTTTGCCTTTCGCGGCGTCGGCTTTGGCGGCTTGGGAGATGCTCGCCGCGATGGTCTTTTGGTCGGTTGCCATCAGGCGCCGGAGTTCGTCGCGGTCGTTGGTAGGTTTGCGCGGTTTGGAGTCGGAGTCGGATTCTGATTCTTCTTCCTCCTCGTCGTCATCTTCGTCGTCGTCGTCGTCTTCGTCCTCCTCGTCTTCATCAGAGGGCATGTCGTCCTCGTCGAAAGATCCCTCGCTGCCTTCAAGGTCGTCCGACTCGTCGGTATCCATGTGGTCCAGCTCGACCTGCTTCTTTCCCTTCTTTGCAGACTTGGACGGGCGCTGCTCCTCCTCGCTCTCGGAGATGTCCTCGTCATCCTCGTCGCTACCCAGTTCCAGATCTTCATCTTCATCCTCGTCCTCGTCCTCGTCCTCGTCATCCTCGTCATCGTCTTCATCCTCATCACCCGACCGCGCAGCAAACGGATCATCATCACTATCAGCCTCCAACGCCGCGCGACTCACTTTCGATCCAGCATATTGTTTTCCGAGGGTGATGGGGTCCTGTTTGCGAAGCGTCGCTTTTCTGCAATGATACAATAATTAGACACGCCCCATGAACAACTAGACACCAACCCATAAACAAAACGAGAAATGAAGAAAAACCTACCCAACAGCCTGATAATGCTCCCTCCCCGCATTCTCATCCTTACCACCAGCAGCACCCTCCTCATCACTATCCTGGTTTCCGCGATCAAGATCCTCAGGGTCGTAGTCTTAAAGCATCACCAGAGTCAGAACATAGTTCCCCCCAAACAACATCAACATCAACATCAACAGGATTAGAATTAGTAAATACCTCTCGGAGTCAAATCCTCCAACTCGGCCATCTGTTCCGCCAGAGATTTCGGAGCCATGGCTGCGACTGCGACTGTTCACGTCCGTGGTGTGGAAAGAATTAATGTAAAAAGTAAAGCAAATCACCCAAACGGAAGAAATTCAAAACCGCAGACTAGTTTAGTTTCCCTTTGCAACTTTTTTTTTCTGCCCGAGATTTCGGGATGCGGTGTCGGGGTTACCTACCATATTGGGAAGGTGTTAGGTGGAATGGGGTGGGTTTTGCCGGCGGTGTAGTTTATTCTGGCAGTATTAGCTTCCATCATTTAATCATAGTAGACGGGATTCAACTACTACTACGTCCAACTTGGTTGAATTGGAAGAGTTTATCATGTTGGGGAAACGATTGTTCTCCACGTTCCGGTGCTTGCAGCATGATAATCCCCTGGTACTCTCATCTCCTCCGAGACATCAGAAGATTAGTACTAATAAGGTATTCAGGGCCTCCCTCGCTCCGGCACGCCGCCGTCCCTCCGAAGTCGTCGCGGGCTCCCCGAGAAGCGCAAGATCCGCGATGTGAAGAAGGTGATTGCTGTTTCTTCGGCGAAGGGTGGGGTGGGGAAGTCGACGATAGCGGGTATGCCTTCATACCATCCTGTTCATGCCAGTCACACAACAACCAGTCGGATACTAATGAGATTACTATCAATAGTCAACCTCGCTCTCGCCTTCGCCCGCCGCGGCATCCGCACCGGCATCCTCGATACCGATATCTTCGGCCCATCCATTCCTACTCTGTTGAACCTATCCGGCGAGCCTAGATTAGACGATAGTGCGTTATCCCACCTACACCCCATTATAAGGGAACTTCAACTAATGAATAACTCGGTTGGCATGACAGAAAACTGCCTCCTCCCCTTAACCAACTACGGACTCAAATCCATGTCAATGGGCTACCTCCTCCCCAGCACCCAAGCACCCCCGACCGCCGACCCGACCGAACGACCCCCCATGGATCCAACCCCCATCTCGTGGCGAGGTCTAATGGTCACCAAAGCAATGCACCAACTCCTCCACTCCGTATCCTGGGGTCCGTTGGACGTGCTCTTCCTCGACCTGCCCCCCGGCACTGGCGACGTGCAACTCACCATCAACCAGGAAATTATTCTCGATGGGGCCGTGATCGTGACAACGCCACAGGATATCGCGCTGCGGGATGCAGTGCGTGGCATCGGCATGTTCCAGCGCATGGATGTGCCGGTGCTGGGGATGGTGAGGAATATGGCGTTCTTTGCGTGCCCGGAGTGTGGGACGCAGACGAAGATCTTTTCGCAGGGAAAGCATGTGCATGAGGGGGCGGATTGGGGGGTGGAGGCGGAGTGTAGGAGGCTGGGGGTTGGGTTTTTGGGCGATGTACCGCTGGATGCGAGGGTTTGTGAGGATGCGGATCGCGGGATGCCGAGCGTGGTTGCTGAGGAAGGGAAGGAGGGGAAGGAGGGGGTGAGGAGGAGGGCATTTTTAGATGTTGCGGAGCAGGTGGCGAAGAAGGTGGGGATTGAGTGGTAGGTTTGGATGTTTGGGGAGGGGGAGATGAGGATTACATGTATAGTATGTGTGTATGATTATACCCAAAATGTGTTATGTTCAATGGTTATGTGGTTGCGGTATGTACAGTCATGCAGGTATTCAAGATGGTGTATGTCTTTGTAGTATTCGACAACGGGGTATTCCAAAACAATAAAACAACATATCAGGACTATAGATAGAACAGTGGCATATCCTCGCCATGACTCTTGCAGAAGAGGCGCCGGTCGCCATGTCGCGAGACAAGACGCAAAAGTCCAAAAGGCGTATATCATCAGCACAACTCCACTGGCTACCAACTCAATAAGCCACATACTCCTCGGCCGTCTTGAAGAACTCGCGATCCGGCATAGTCGGACGCGCGTGTTTGTCAACATCAGCACTGCCATTCACCCCTCCGGTATCACCATTCACACCACCAGGTACAGATTCAGCATCACCTGCATCCGTCGTCGACAGCGCATCGAACGAGCGATAAGCTGAGTCGCCATCATCGCTCATCAGACCCACCACACCACCAGCGCGCAGCACAGCGCGTGTACTGGCTTCGTCGACACCCGTGGTGGTCACGGCAAGGGATTTCTCATCGCCGATCGTGCTGCTATCTTCAGGAAGCTCGGAGGTAAACTCGCTGCGGATGGTTCCGGAGCCGGCATGAGATAGTGGCCGTTGGCGAAGTCGTGACCATACGCCATCTGATGTGGTAGGGATGGCGCCGGCTTCACGGAAGAGCGTCCTTGTGCTAGCGTTTTCGTCGAGCAGCGTCTTCCCCTCGTACTCGGGGAGTAACATGAGTCGACTGCTGGATTTGCTCAGGGCTGTACCTTGCGGGGGAGAGGTTCCCAGCTGATCAACTGCGTCAGTTGACGCCTTGTGGGAGGTTACACTGTCTTTTTCTGATTGGGTTGGAACAATGACGATGTTCGTAGGGTGCGAGGCAAGAGTAGCCGGTTCAGAGGACGGGCGTAAACTCTCGGCTTTGGATCTGTTGGCCTCGTCCATTGATGCTCCAGCGCGCCCGGCGTCGACACTCTTTCGCTTGACCTCGCAGCCTTTCTGCTGTTCTTTAGCGATTGATCTCTCGTCTTGCTTGCTCGCCAGTCTGCTCCACATCGTCATGGGGTAACTCTTGCGGCCGGTCTTGGAGGGCAAGACGCCAGGGGCGTTGCGTCTCGCAGCAAGTGAACTGGGCGGAGGCAACTCGTCCTTGAATGTCTGAAGCCCATACGCCAGTTCCTTGATCCGCTGTCGCTGAACCCGGAGCTTGTCTTTGGCGAATTTCTCGTCCCATTCCTCCTTGGCTGCCAGCCATCCACGGACAAGTTTGGGGTTGAAGGTACCGACTTGGGAGCTGGGGATCTGGAGGACAGGACACTGAGACGGAGGATCAAGCGGGTAGATATTGCCCCGCTTGTCGACTCGTTGACGGATCATGCGGTCTTTGAAGGCCGGCAATGGATCGCCTGCCCGTCCAATCGATGCGACTGCAGTGCCGTTGGTGGTACCGTTAGCAGTGTCTCCTGGTTTGTCAGATTCGCTGGACGACCCGGACTGCTGATCTTCGATTTCCACCTCCTCTTTCTGCGCACATGCCAGAGCCCAGGCCCCAAATTGAGCGATCGCCCGGTACATATACTTCGCGGGTCGTGTAAAGCTGAGAGTGGGAGCGACGTGGCAGAGGTCGTCCCAGACCTGTAGCTGCACATGGGTACCGGGGTATTTATGAAGAATCTCGCGTGATGGATCATGCTCGTCGAGGAACTTGTCACTGGGCGGGTATGCTGTGGGGTTGGCGGCCTTATGTGCAATGTAGAACTGTTCATCTCGTAGCATTTCACCACCTCCGCTTTGAATCAGCAACGGAGGTAGACCTCCCAGTGATGGCTGGAAGACAGGGGAGACGAGAGGATGAGACAGAAGCTCGTTAGTAGTGTACATGTGAATCTGGTCCTTGACCTCCACTGTCTCCCCATCAAGTACCACCTTGACAGTCTCGTGCTCGATGTCGAAGGCACGTTCCGCGTTGGTCGTGCTGTTCCTACGGCTCGAATACCCCTTCGCTGCTGTTTCTTCGGCCTCGCTATCATTCGGGATGGCCTTGAGAGCCTCACTCTGGCTGGCTGGGTGTTTCTTGAGACCTTTCTTGAGCTCACGCAGCTCGTCCGCGTTTGGCGGGGGCCATGCAGCGGAGGGTTTATGTCTGAAGCCATAGGGAGGAATGTAGTCGCCCGGGTTGTCCGCGACAATGCTCGGGAACGAATGCGTGAGGTCCACCCAAGGGGAAATTAGGATAGCACCCGCCGGCAAAGGCAGACCTTGATCGCGACAAATGACAAGCATCCTACCAGAGTCAGCGTTGCTCTTCCACCGCTACAATATACTTACGAGAACACCATTCCTCCACCAGCCGAGTCGCCGGCGAAAATGATCTCTTTCGGATCATGATCCTCCAGCAGATACAGGTATGCGGCTAGCGAGTCTTGTAGACTGCATGGGAACGGAAATTGCGGCGCCAGACGATATTTAGCTGGAAGTTTGGAATTAGCTTTTACGGTCCACGGGTGGCATCCCAGTAGATCCAGAACTCACTAAATTGAGTTAGCATTGCATACAAATGAGAAATAGGCGATAAGCTTACCGTGCAAAAACCCGACCCTTAAGCTTCCTAGCGTGCCGCTGCATCTGATAGCGATGGGTATCCAGACTAGCGAAGAAGTACGCCCCACCGTGGATATACAACATGATCCGCTTTTGGCTCGGATGATCGCGACTGGTCTGCTTCCGCTCATTGTAATCATCCTTCATCTCGATCCACTCTCCCTTGAGGTCCTCGGCTGGTCCACGCCATTGCCACCACTCACTTCCTCCAACCCGTGCGATGCCCTTGGGACCCAACTGTTGGTTGATGGCCTTGGCCGCTGACGAGAGGTATTCCTCCGACACAGTCACGGTTTGTAGTTTCACCCAATGGGGCGCGGGCACCTTTTGGCAGGTAAAGGCCTGGAGATCCTCCACGGGATGTTTGGAGGCATAGACAAGGAATTCACGCAGGATGCGGATGGCTTCATCGTAGGTGACGTGGACGTTGGGCTTCTGACGAAGCGATTTGCGATGGACATACTGGAAGTAGAGGATCAGGGTCAATGTCAGAGTCAAGGTCCATGAACTATGACCCAAGATCAAACAAGATGGGGAGAGAATAGTGAAGTGACAGCGGCAGGGCGACCCACATGCGAGATCAGGGTCTGGAGGACGGCCGGAGTGAGGGCCACACTCAGGGCAAAGGTGTTGAGTGGCATTGTACTAGTCTAGAGGGGGGAACAGTCGACCAGGACACATGGCTCGAAAAGCCAAGTATAAGAGAGGCAAAGAAAATTGCAGAGGACAACAATAGTAAAGAAGGATAAAAAAAAATGAAGATTTAAAGTGGAGGACGCGAGCGGGTCAAAAAGAATGAAGGGGGGGAAGAAAGGGGTGGGAGGTGGAACGAGCGTGCATGCAGCGAAAGAGGGAGGAGAGAGAGCGAGATTAAGAGAAAGATAAAGGAGAGGAAAGGGACAGGAACACGAAGCGATTGCCACATGTCATTGGGCACTGCATCGTCATTGCATTGATAGTCAAAGTAAGTAGAAGAAGAGAAGTGGAGAGGGTTATCCAAACTCTCTTCAAAAGATCCCGACCGGTCGGCGGTGATGTCATGGGACCCCCCGTCCCTGGCAGCCCCAATCAATTCAATCAATCACCGCCACTCAACAGTTCCTGTCGATGACTTGTTTCTTTTGCCAACGGATGTGCAGTAAAGAGCCACGCGTTGCTGCAGCAAGCCAAGTCTGCACGGTGGACTCGCTCTCTCAGCCTCAGTCTTGCCATTCTCTCCCCTACACAGCCCGCTGGCAGTGGCGCTGATTAGAAATATATATTATACTAGCATAGTACTAGTAGAGCAACCAGCCCCTATGAAGCTACTATGAAAGAGTCTTGAGTAGTACTTACTACATTATTTTGACAGAGTCATATGTTCCCAGAACAGAATGTGTTACAGCCCTGGAGGCAGACCAACTCAAGCATATAATCTTATCATCATATAATGTAATCGGTGATTAATTCCCACTGCATAGTAGCTATCAACTCTTCCCCTTTTGCAACAAGCTTAACAACCCTACAAAGAAGGCACCAACGGTCCATGCTATAGCCCAGTCATCGAAAACTAACCTTGCAATGGCTATGCTCAGCAAAATTAGTATTACTGTCACAAGTAGCACCATATGCTGCAAATTGCCTTCCCAATTGTCGCCGATCATTAAGCCGCGAAATTGAACTTCACCCAACTCCGGACAATGCCAAACATTGAGTTTTGTCAGAATATCTCTATTGATTGAAGATCAGTACTTTCAATCATAGATATTGACGAACGAAGGAGTCTCTTACTGATGACCATGTATTAAATTCTCCCTGCTAAGGAGGTGATTGTGTGCAGCAATCTCACCTTTCAAGAAGCAATGGGTAAATATAGGCCGAAGACGGAGTAACGAGAGCTCACGTTCCGCCCGGAATTTAGTCCTCTCAGGGCATTCTGCATAATCCGCATAGCTTGTTACACAGTCATCATGACAGTACACGGCCCCCGTGGAAGCTTTATACGGACAAGGCCAATCCTGAGGCTTGTAATCCGCGATGACTTGCTCCAAATGCTTCCTTTTGGCGACCAAATCTTCACTGTTATATATACCAACATATTCAATGCCTGTCGATCGATGATCATTGGCCAGCTTCTGCCCTGCAATAGAAATCTTCGGTATTGCAATCAGAATAATCGCCTCAAGTTTGATGTTTCGGAGCCACATACATCAACAATTTCCACCTTATTCACCCAAAACCATGGCAAATATTTCGCCCCAACGCCTCTCTGTGCGTAAAACTCCCGGGAAATTGCTTGCCACGCGGTAACCTCATCAGTTGGGTCAGTGATCACCACCGGAACAATCTGGCACCGCTCTTTTCTGCCCCAACAGATAAATATCACATGGAAGTCTTTCTCAAACATGGGCTTGAAGAAATCTCCCAATTCCTTTCTCCGGATTTCATGGGGGCCAGGTGGGCGGTCTGTTGCACGTTGCTCGAATAGAGTGTCCGAGCCATCTTGCCTTGGGCATTCTCAACCACTGACTTTCATGTTTGATTGTGTTTCTCGAGTATGGATCATACCTTCGAACGCGCCGAATCCTACGCCTCGACGTTTGGGAAGTATTAGGCACCGAGATGCTTGCTATAGGTGGAGGAGCTTGATTGCGTCTAGTATCGGCAAGCGGAAGTAAAGATTGCCCTCGTGAGATCCTCGGAAGGCGTGCATGCATCCATGACATATCAATAATTCGGAGGTACCGCTGAGTCAAATCTCCGCTGACGGCGAGATAATATGCTGAATTGCTGGGAGTGTCTTCATCATTGTGTGTTGATCGAAGCAGAGCTCGACTAGGTTTGGTGATATCTTGCATTTTGACTGCGAAAAGGGTGAGTAGCAGTGAATTGAAATATTCCCAAGACTTTGACAAGGGGTTATTGAATGCCAGAAGATACTAAGGACAATATATACACAACAATCAACCCACATCTAGTACTAGGGAGCGCTAAAGCCTCGCAGCTCCAGCTGCAAGGCTGAAATGCCGAGAGTGGATTAATTTCGCAATATTGATATGTTCAGTTGCGCAGTTGGGTTATCCCTGGTCGAGTATCAGCCTTGCAGCTTGGTAGCCTTGTCTCCAAGGGAGCCTTACAGTGAAATCCGATAACTTCGGCTGGTTTAAATTCGCCATTGGTTGGGTACGTGCGGCAAATCTCTCGCAGGGGCTATGCTAAGCAATATACAAATTAGTTGGATAAACCTAGGCCACATCAAGAGGTCGACAAAATTGGGCATAAAGATGAGGCTGCGAAAGAGATGACACACGCCCTCAAATAAGAATTAGGCTTGCCAGCTGTTTTACCCCTCCTCACCCTCGTCGGCGGCAAGCAAAAGGGTCTGCAGCCTTGCTTCCTATCGAAGCGGGGTAGCTGACATCTGAGTTATAACGCCACGTCATGCTGATAAAAGAACAAGGAGAACAATGATCCAAACTCATGTAAACCCTCTACTTATATTCTGTCAACAGAACCCATGTTTCGCTTTTAGTAAAAAATGGAGCCACGACCTAATACCGCACTCTACGCAAAGTACACATCTCTCCTCGTTATGATGAACATCACTGATATAGACGAAGGATATTCCGAGAACCACCGATCCCGGTGATTGTAGGGAGTGCTAAGAGCACCTATTTTGTCCACCCTGAAGCCTTGTCATGGTGCAAAAACTCAGCACTACGTGCGCGAATCGAAAGGCCATGGAGGCAGCACGGAGATATAAGTCCAATTGACTGGTCCGACTTCGATGAGCAGACTGTCGAATGCGTCTTGAGCTATCTTTATACGCAAGATTACTATGTCCCTCAGTTGGAATGTGTTCCTGATGATAGTTGCAAAATCGACGATGACTGCGAAGGTAGGGCGTTCTTTGCTGAAGTTAATGTCGGTGTTTATTGATGTTGTTCATAGTTCCTACTGGAATTGAGCCATCTACACCCGAGTCTGTACCTGATGATCAAGAAACAATTAACAGACCACTAACACCCTTGAGTCGGTGTCTCAAGGCTGGCCTACCGGCAGACAATAACCATACTGCTGCAGGCGCTTGCACTTATCGAGCATCTCCGAATCCTGACGATCGCCTTGGCGCTGAAATTCTGATCCATGCGAAAGTATATTGCTTCGCACATCGTTATTGTATCTGTGAACTTGAAGACTTCGCACTGCAACGTCTCACGAAGGTTCTTATTATCATCGATGCAGAAACAGAGGCAGTGTTTCCGTATCTCGCAGATGCTATCCGTGTTGTCTACGATTCGACACCAGGAGCGAATTTTCAAGATAATCCTGCTCGGAAGTTGTTATCCCAGTATGTTGCATTGAATTACACTAGGTTGGAAAGTGAGAGCTTCGATCAGATTATGGCAGAGGGTGGTGAATTCATGGTGGATTTATCGCACAAGTTGGCCAGGCGGCTCAACATGAATGGGATAGGTGCCGAGACTCTGGTGGAACAAATTGATGATCTTAACTTACAGATAAATCAGTTGAGTCTAGGTCTTCATGAACAGGAAACCAAGCTCAACAGTGCGAGGAAAGAATTGATGGAGTGGGATAGCTGGAGTCGAGGGATTCCCAGAAAGTATATAAAGGCAAAAAGGAAGGTGTAATCAGGGATTGCTTCCACTTGATACACTACATCGTTGAGCAGACGGTCTCAAACTTTTCATTCATACTACATGATGGCGATTGGCTGGAGCTGAGATTCGTTATATACTCGGGGAAATAAGAATGGACACTCCGCTGCGTGCAGCGAATGAGAAACAGTGGTTGTATAGCAGTAGACCAAGCTAGTATGAAATCCCACAAGGCTGCTGATAAGGGCCTAGCCTATATGTTGAGGGAGTAATGGTGACTCCAGAAGTCAATATATAGCAGCCAAAGCCTTGACCAAAGCCTGCTGCATCAGGAGGTGGTTCCAAGGAAAAAGAAAGGTATAGCTACTATGAGCTTACGGCAACACCCACCCCTCTGCTCGTATCCTTTCTGGTGATACCCTCGTGTTTCTCTACCCCAACCACAACATCCGCATCCATCCGGTTGAACCTTAGTTTATGATCTCAACATGACGACATTAAGAGCATTTACATCAACCGCTCTCGCTTCAAGAATTAAATGCATTGGAATCTCTCACCAGAAATGAAACCCTCAAGCTTATCAGGCATCAACATGCAACAGCAACCCGATGTATACCTCGAGTCTCACAAACAGGTCCTTAAGTGGACCAAAGAGTTGGAATTCTTAGGCTATATCCTCTCAGAAATAGTTGACCCAGATGGCCTCGAAAGAAGAGGATATTATTGTCACCAAGCAGCGGACCTCCCGGCAATTGTCGATACTCTTAAATGTGCTTGCTCCCAGCCTCACAGCAGGCTCCGGGGTGTATTAGGCAAACAAGCCGCAAAATATTTCTCAAACCTACTCAAAAAATCGAAGCAAATACGGAATGCCATGGCTCACCATCTTGCATTGAGTGAGGAAAGAATGTTGGCCCTGCAAGGGACAAAGCAGGAGCTTGACCGGATATTCCAGTGTGTTATAAGTCGAGCTGCATCAAGATATAACATCCAACAGGTATATTTGATTGGAAATCATTCTTACTATCAACTTCAATGAAAATATTCAGGGCTACAGTCTGACTAACGTCAGGTCACTTGGTACCCCGATGACACTGAGTTCAGCGGACCATCACACCGTCATACTGAAACGATCGCTTTGGGCGGTGAGCCACCACTATACCAGCGCCAGAGAATCCTTTGGTCAGAAGCAGGACCGTCAAATAGGCCGAAAAAGAAGAAACAGAAAGAAAAGGCGACAGAAGAAAGCCGAGCGGCCCATTTGATAGCTCTCGAGGCGTCTTTAAGGCGTAAAATTGGTAAAATTCAGAAAGAAAAAGCACAGATCATGGAGGCTAAAGCTCGCAAGTTTCAAACATTGGAGCAAACATACCGTCAAAGGTGGCAGGAGAGAATGGAAAAGATCAATCGCATTCTGCTTTTGACGAAAGATGAAGAGCGAGACCTAAAAGTCCAACACGGAAAGATATTTGGCGAACCATTTGGAGCCAATGTTAGCACGGATGCACTTTTTATTCTGCTTCTCCTAGCCTTGAGCTCTCCGTTGTGGCTTTCTGGATTGGTTGTCCGCAAGTTTGGGGTACAAATCGTGAGATAAGGCTGATGAGAGATCCATATCATTGAAGGGCGCAGCTTGGGGAATGAAAACATGTTCGTCGTAAAAGTAACTAATGTTTATCATAACATGAGTCTTATGAATCTTTTTAATCTTTTCAATTACCTTCCACCAACTTTCACAATGGGCTGTAAGCATCTAAGACCGCAAACGATACGGTCACCTGACACCTTGAGACCGGAACTAGCCTTGCTTCAACATGATATCCTAAAAACAGCGCGAACATTATTAGAAAGTTGCAACTATGTTTGTGGACCAACATCATAGTAATTAGCCGAGAAATTATGACTGATTGGTGTGCCTGAGCAGAATTAGGATATTGGGCCGGGAGCCGCTGAGGGGACATTGCGCTGAATTCTACTTTAGCGAAAGCTTGTAGATTTATCACATATTCGCATTACTACCCGTATAAGATCAAAGCTCCTGGATTAGAAACGAATCGTTAGATACTTTCTGAGGTACCTGATGCCCGAGGCATTATGATTCTGCCTTAGGTAGTATATATTAGTTTCAGGCAAAAATGTACACAATTGGCAGGAGGTAGGGGCTGTGCTGGCTTCAAAGCCAGGCTTTCCCAATGAGGTATGTAGCGTCTCCCTTATTATGCAGACCATTTGAACTTCAAAATTAATCCTACCGATGTATAGATGTATAGATAATATAAACAGACAAGTCCTCGATAATAAACAGATTACCCCAGCTTCTAAAGAATAAATTACATGAATGTCTTCCCATCAGCATCATTCCACAGCATCTCCTACCCCTAGGTAGTACTTCTCCTTATTTAGGACACGCAGGTGCATTTGCTATACCGCTGATTAGCCGAAATTCTTTTTTTCTGTTTGGATAGTATCTACTCACCCCTTCTTGCACTTCTTCTTCTTGCAAGACGAGGAAGAAGAGGAAGAATCCTTAGTCTCCTTCGAAGACTTGGTAGTAGTCTTAGTAGCCGTCTTCGTACTCTTGGTCGTGGTGGAAGTCTTGGTGGAGGTGGTGGTTTCCTTGGTCTTTGTGGAAGTCGAAGTCGTGGTTGTGGTATCCTTAGTTAAAGTGTCCTTAGTCGAGGTATCCTTGGTGCTCGTATCCGTCGAGTCAGGAGTAGCCGTCGACGTGGTCTTGGTGCTAGTGATAGTCGCGGTATCCTTGGCCGAAGATGAGCTAGACTTGGTCGTTGCGGTCTCGGTATCCTTCGGCTTGCTGCTGGTAGACTTGGTAGTCTGTGCTGCCTCGGAAGACCCAGAGCCGTGCTTGCTCTTGGTTGTGGTCTCAGCTTTGGTGGAAGTGCTTGTCGCAGGCGTGATCGTCGCCTTCTGCGAGAACGATGTCACGGTGGACTTGACCGTGTGCGAAGCTTGAACATATCAGCATCGAGAGATAGATTTCTTCCTATTTGATAATAAGAACTTACCCGTCTCTGAAGCCGTGTTTGCAGTTCCAGTCTGGCTCGGTGTGGCCTTGCTAGAAGCAGAGTGGGACTTGACTGCCGAGGAGGACGGCGTAGCCGTGGGCGTGCAGACAGCCGCTGACGAGGCATCACGCTTGGCAAAGGCAGTGCCGTCCGTTGCACTCCAGTCCAGCAGCTTGCCGTTGTCCCATTTCCATGATGCAGTAGGGTACTTCTCATTGAACGCATCCAGCGCCTTGCCATAGACGTTCTTGGCCCCCGCAGCCTCGGTGCTAGTGACTTGTGCGGAAACCGATGAGATGCGGGTCGAGACAGCCGCCGCCTGGGTGCTCAGAAACTTATCCATCCAGCTTTCATATGCACTGGCCCAGCCGTTCTTGGGTTGCGGGAGGTCGAGGTCTTGGTTGCAGGATTTCTGTTGGCTCATGAGGTCATCAATCCCAAGGAAAGCTTTATACATGCGGGTGTTGGCGTTCTTGAAGTAGGTGGCGACGCTGTTGTCGCGGAGCATTGATACAACCACTGCCAGAGTGTTCATAATGCTCAGCGCGCTGCCCTGGCGGGCGTCTCCGGTGCCGTCGACCGAAGCCATACCGCTCAACTCTTCACTTCCGAACATCTGAGCCGATGGTCAGCTATTAGTTAATGGGTAGAGTGGACTGATAATGGGGTAGTGCATATTAAACTCACAGGTGCCTTGTACGAATTCAAACGACTGTCCATGGCCACCAGGTCCGGATACGTCTCACCAGGCAACTACCATACTGATTAGCAACCGGCATCACATTATGGTGGTGATTAATCCGGGAAGAGATACTTACATAACTGTAGAGCTTCTGGAGCCGGGGCTTATTCACTCCTTGCTTGTTCTTGAAGGTTGAGTCGATCGTAAGGAACCATTCTTTGAAACTGTCGCAGAACTTGTACTCGTCAATCATAGCCGTCAAGAAGGCATCAAGGATTTGGAGCTCGTCTAGAAATAGTTAGATAATGCATAGACTCTAAAACAAGTTACCACTCACAAACATGATCCACATTAATGTGTGGCATCTCCTGGTTATTCTTGTTGATCTGGGCTCCCAGATCGAGGTACTTTTGTTGGGCACTTGCCTCAACATCATCCCAGTACCCAGCCGTTGTTTTCGAAACGTCAGCTGCATTTGCAATCGTCGTGAACGTAACGGCTGCGTCGCAGGTGTCTAGCTTGGGAATGAAGTACCCAAGGAAGCTATAACCGCTGACTTTGTTTTGGCTAGTTTGGATATTCTTTGAACGAAAGTATTTGGGCTTGTAGATCGTCTGCCCCAAGTCGCAGGTGCCCAGCTTTTCGGTTTTGGTATGATCGCGGCGATCGAAGTAATTCAGACCCCGCCGTCTGGTAGATGAGGTGGTGTCATCCTCATTCTGCTCGATATCATCCTCCGTGAGAGTGGTAGGGAGTGTGTATCGCCAGCAGGAAGCCTCAGCGCTCGCGCTCGCACTGGCAGCAACCGCCGACGATGAGGCCTCTCCACGTGGGATAACAGAGGCTGTGGTTAGATTAACCAACAGGAATAAAAGAGCGACAGCTTTTGAACCAGCCATGGTGAAAAAGAATTCAAATGATTGTAAAAGAGTTGGTTGTGTGATGGTGACAGCAAATACAGACAGGGACCAGGTAGGTATTTATCCTACGCTGGCGACATCACGTTCTTCCTCATCTGTCGGTATATGGCTCTTGACCCTTTCAATGCCAAACGTTTGGGGGCTATGATGTTTCAATGTTGGGGCCAAACCGCGAGGCTCAGCAAGGATCCGAACGGGAAAAGTTAGGGCACGAATTGGTAGGATCAGCCACCGCCCCCAGCCTAACCCGCTTCTTAATAATTACCCCTTCCTTGTCGGCTTCCCACCGAACATCATCTCTCCAAGACTTTCAAGACAACCTGAATCAATTGATCCACATGCACATCTTTGACTTACCACAAGAGCTTCTGGAGGCCATCTTGGCGCAGACCTCGCGTGGCTCTCTCGCCAGCCTCGCGCGGGTCTGCCAACGTCTCCGACCGCCCGTCGAGCGCGTCTTGTACCAGTTGGTGTACTTGCGCAACCACGACGGAGAAAAGTTCACCTACGCGCTGGACTGTGTACCCTCCCGTGCCGAGTATGTCAAAGAGCTTCTAATTCACTATCATTATGTCGATGTTGAAGATGAAGAGGAGTACTATCCATTGTATGCGGAAACCCTCGCTCCGACGATCGGGCGTCTCGTGAATCTGCGAACGCTTGTCGTCAAGGGGCTCGAGTTCGACGCAGACCGAGAAGAAGACGACGAAATTATTGGGGGATATGAGAGAGTCATTGCCGAAGCCGAGAAATGGGACACTCTCTTCGCGCAATCTGCTGTGCCGGGCTCGCAGATCCTTCCTTCGCTTACAAAATGTCTGCCAAACCCTTTATCATCATCTTACCTCATATGCTAACGTTCCTCAGGTGTGATGATCATGGATGACATTGCGCCCAATGAGCCAGCTTGGGACTTTAGTCTGAGGGGCGCCGTGCTGATCCATCCGCACCTCCAAGACCTGACCATAGTCGGGGGCGAACTTGAGAGCCTGAAGAATCATGTGCCTTCACCACGATCGACGCCACTCGAAAGGCTAAACATGTTTGGCTGTGATGTGTCACCCTCCGCGATGGGCGAGTTGTTGTCGCTGCCGCGTGCCTTGAAATATCTGACGTATAAAGGGGCGCCGTGGTGTTACCGGCCCACAAATCTTATGCCCGACAGGCAAATATACGTTGACATGATTAAGAATCAAGCGGATTCACTCCTGAGTCTTGACATTGACTTCTATCCAGGGATTGTTGATAACCCCCCGGTAGACTTTACTGCCCTCGAGTGCCTGGAAGAACTCACTGTTGAATCCGATGCATTGAGAGGCACCGGAGAATACGACCCGAAGAACAACACCAAAATATGTCTGTGGAAAAGCTCCGAGCTGAAATGCCAGCTTCCTCTGAGCCTAAAGCGTTTAGTGCTTTTTCTATACACCCCGAAGAATCCCCTAGATTGGCGTACCTTGATTATACTCTACAATTGGATCTCGCGGGGCAGTTTGCCAAACCTGGAAACGATTACTTTTCAGATCGCGAAGCCGTGTGAACGCGAGATATTAGACCGATCGATTGGAGACAATGTGCGGTCAATCGGGCAGGCTTTTGAAGAGGTTAACGTGCAACTGCAGTTCGAGCTGGTCCCTAACAGCAAAAACGACGGCTACGAGCTATTCAACTGCCCTGACTGCGGCATTAATTGGCGAAACATGCATGCTTGATCTGAGCCTAATTTAACATCAAACACATCCTTGCAGCACTTCAGAGAATGCATCCATCAGCGTTTGATATATTCAGCAACATACTCTTCTAGAGATGAAACACATCCGCACATCATAAGTAAGCAGTAGCTGTAAGTAACAAATTAGTAGCCTACAGATTAATAATCTCCCAAAACGACCAACAAAACCACACACCGTACACCAAAAAGTCACACCACCGGCAGGAACCCTCACTGACACAGGGGCCAAACCTCCCACCCCCTCGTATCATCATCGCACAGGCCAAACTCCAACAACCCAAACAAGGTTAAAAAACAAAGTTGTTGGTTGCACGTCCACGCGACACAATGGGGTCTAGACGTTTCTGAAGGATCCGAAATCTGGGGCCAAATGGCCATGATTGACGGGTAGCGGTTTATCAGCCGTGTATGTAGGGGCCCACTGGCCCCTGAATATCACGATTGCTTTTGGGTTTGGGTACCTGCGTCGTTGGGCTGTGCTCGTATTTGCTGGGGGTGAGGTGTGGACGCGCGGTGAAAGGGGGGGTGGTTTGGGTTGGCTTGGCTGAGGTTTGGATTTCTGGTATGAGAACCGGGAGGAGGATTGCTTATGCTTTATGTATTGTGAAGCTCATAATTTGAGTCTGTGGAGGTTAGAGAGAGAAGACGGAGTTTCTTTTGTGTCTAGAGCACGCTGAGATGGTGGGTGGTGCCTGAACTGCGGGCTTACGGTGACACGGTCAGGAGGAACATCGGTTACTCCTTGTCATTTCACGGTAACCTGTCAAACCAAGGTAATTTTGGACCTGTAAAAGATGTTACAATATGACATAAGTTTGACTAGTATCACTTCACTCTACAGAAACACCAGATCCGTTGGGCATAGAAATGGATAATCGAGTGAAGCTAGTCAAGGACGTCTTAATCTTATCGCTCGCAACCAGTCATCCATCCAACCGCACTAATCCCAATCCGGCCGATGCAACGCAACATGACAAGCTTCAGCTTCATCTCCATCTCCATCACCACTCCACAGCAACAACAAACAAGTACCACCACCACCACCATCATCATCAACAACCACCCAAAATGACATCCCCATCCACCCACCCCCAAACAATGCAAGCCTGGCTCTACAGCACCACGCACCCAACCCTGGAACAAAACCTCACCCTCACACCTAGCGCTCCGACCCCACCAGCGCCCAAAAACACCCAACTCCTCATCCGCGTCCACACCTGCGCACTGAACCCAGCCGACTACAAAGTCCCCGCCATGCCCGTGATATCAACCCTTCTGATCCGAAAACCCGCCAGCCCCTGCCTCGACTTCGCCGGCGAAATCGTCTCCACGGGCCCAAACGTCCCCTCCACCCTCACCCCGGGCAAACTCGTCTACGGCACGCTGCCCCTCCCAACGCAATTCGGTCCGCTGGCTGAATACGTTCTCGCTGAAGCCGAGCACGTACAGATAGTCCCGGAGGGGGTGGAGGTTGACCACGCTGCGACGGTGGGAGTAGCGGGGCAGACGGCGTGGCAGGCCATCGCGCCGTATGTGACACCGGGGGCAGGGGATAAGGTGTTGATTGTGGGAGCGTCGGGCGGTTGTGGGATCTACGGGGTGCAGATCGCGAAGGCGCTGGGTTGTGAGGTGACGGCTGTGTGTTCGGGGAAGAATGTCGAGTTTGTGAAGGGGCTGGGGGCTGATGAGGTGATTGATTATACGGCGGAGAATGTGGTAGAGGTGGTGAAAGCGAAGGGGAGGGTGTTCAGGTTGGTGGTGGATCATGTGGGGGAGCCGTGGGAGTTGTATCGCGAGAGTGACAAGTTCATGGTCCCTGGGGGTGTGTTTACCCAGGTTGGGGCCAATTGGATGCCTACGTTTGCGGTGAGGTTTATTCGGCCAGGGTTTTTAGGTGGGGGGAGGATGAAGTATGTGCCGATTTTCTGGAAGAGCAATAAGAAGGATTTGACCAAGGTGGGGGAGTTGATTGGCGAGGGGAAGGTGAAGGTGGTGTTGGATAGTGTGTTTGGGTTTGAGGATGCGCCGAAGGCGTTTGAGAAACTCCGCGGGGGAAGGGCAAGGGGGAAGGTTGTGGTCCGTGTCGTGGAGAGGTCGTGAGGGGGGTGGGGATAGTGTGGGGATGGATGGTGTGGGTTGTTTGGCATTCAGTTCATGGCGTCGTGTTTGATTTCACATTTAGGAAGGGTGGGTGCTATGTGACAGATTCAATTTCGCTTCAAGAATGTCAGCGCGCCGAGAGACATGGCATCCACGGCGGTTTGGAGGGTGGGCTGGATCACTGGGGCGAAGAATGGCGAGTGATTACTCGGGAGATCTTTCACAGTGTCATTCTTGGCTGCATTATCCCATGTCTCTGGATCGATCCCGCCATAAGTCCACATCACGTACGGCGCGTTCACGGCTCTAGCGAGTAAAGAAAAATCCTCGCTGGCACCTGCCGGATCAGACTCGATGAGTCGCTTTCCGAAGTAAGAGCCGAATGTATTGCATAAAGCTCGCACGGTAGCGTGGTCGTTGATAGTGGCCGGGGTCGACATGACATGGTCGATTTGCGGTTCCTTCTCGCAGCCGGCCGCCTCGCATTCGGCGCGGATGATGCGCTTGATCGCACGTATTACGCGTTCGCGGATCGAGTCGTCGCATGTCCTCACATCAAGCTTGAAATCTAGGGTATCCGGGATGACATTGGCCGCTATACCAGCTTGGATATAGCCACAGGTGACCACCGCCAGTTGTCCCGGAGGCACCTCGCGCCCTACGATGGTCTGCAACTTCAAGATGATGGCCGCTCCGGTAACAACGGGGTCAATACATGCCTCGGGCGCCGAACCATGACCGCCTTTTCCAAAGATGCGCACATTGAATGAATCTGCAGCGGTTAGTAGCCGACCAGAACGGACGCTCACTGTGCCGGCTTTGAGTGGCATCACATGCGCTGCCAATACCACATCCGGGGCGGGTATTTTATCATAGAGACCGTCATCTATCATAGCTCTGGATCCTGATAGGAGCTCCTCTGCTGGCTGAAATAGGCAAATCAGAGTCCCTGTCCAATGAGTTCTAGCGGATTGTAGGAGGGAAGCACTAGCCATCAGGCTGACGACATGGGTATCATGACCGCAGGCGTGCATTACGGGGACCTCGACCCCGTCCTTGTTTTTGGCGACTTTCGTGCTCGCATATGGAAGTCCTGTCTTCTCCTGCACGGGTAGTGCATCCATGTCGGCTCGAAGTAGGATTGTCGGACCAGCACCATTTTTCAAAACGCCTGCGACGCCGTAGCCGCCAATGTGTGTATGTACCTCGTAGCCGAGTTCTTTCAGATGCTGGGCCGCAATGGCAGAAGTGCGTTCTTCACAGAAGGACAATTCGGGATTGCTGTGGATATCACGATAGATGTCCTCGAATGGCGTCAAGTCAGGACGGGCTTCCTCGAGTATGTCCTTCAAGGCCGTTTCGGAGGCTGTGACGTCAATAATTAGCTTCATTGACTGGAATTGCGCGAATTGGGAGACTCAATTAGTACACTCACCTGCGTGCCGAAGCTGCATGTTGAATAGAAGTTTGCTTCCATTGAATTGATCGATTGTCTATGGATAGAAGTTCTGGGTAACCTTCAGACGCCTCTTATGGAAGACTGCTGGCCCTTCCAAGCATTCACCGAGAAATTGACCGGGTGCAAGCGGGGTAAAGTATGCTTTGCCTCAAGGGGAATTTGGCCCCATAGTTTGATAGACACAATTGCCGAAGATAGCATGTTAGGAGGGGCCTAGCGAGCCATTGTCATTATAAAGTGGCCGGAGTGATTGGAGTGGGACGGATGACTCCAACTATTGAAGTAGGAGGATGATGCTCTCGGACCCCGTCGGCTAAATGCGCCACTGCTGGTTCTCCGTTTCCAATCGAACCCCGCCCCCAGCGGTTCTGTCTTCATGCTTATCTCCCCCCAGTTTAGTAGCTCGGCTATCGGGGATGAGGAACCATGGAAGCCTGCACCGTAATGCCGGCCTTTCCGTTGACTTCCCGGGGTTTGATCGGCATGAATACATGTCATTGGCAATAGTAGCGAAGCTGGTTGGCCAATTAGTCTAACCCAAAGACCGCTGACAACTGGACGGGGATATTTTGCAACGGAAGATGATTGTCATTCAAGGTCATTATCATTCACGTGCCTGTACGCTGGCAGTATTTTGAGCAGAACATAACAATATAGAAATACCCTACTTTGTCACTCTGCTAATCCATTTAACTGCAGTATGACTATTATAACTGTGTCCAATCAACCTGCCATCATTTCCTCAGATTGCCTAAGCGCGTCTGATGTAAAATTCACTCGTGGCGCGGTATTTAGCGGTCGGATGGCGACAACCAAGTCCTAAAACACGCTGCATCTGCTTTATCGCCGTTGTCCAAGAAGCGTGATCAGTGACTGTCAAGGGCTCACTGGGAGAAAGCTCATCTCCAACATCAGTATATGTCTCTGGTTCGGGCTCTCAGTCCAGATAACTCCCTTTAACACGAGGAATCTAGAATCCCGACCCACCCTGAAAGGGTTAGATACATGAGATAGTCGAGAGTGCGTTCTTTATTGTACACGAGTTGCTCTTGTACAAATTCAGGGAGGTTATTCGTGTTTTTTCGGATGCTTTGTTGTAATGCACCGTAGAAGTCTGAACCTTTCAAGTACACATCATTGTTTTGAATTCCCTACATAGCTCTGTAGAGAGTCCTGTCGACATACTGCCGTTGGTCTTCCGGTGGGTTGGAGAAGTATCTCCAGACGTCTTGCCTGTTAACCATGGTGGGTGCTTTTCCTGTTGCTGTTTTTCTTGTGGCTTCGAAAAGGTACAAGCTGTATCCGTAGCTCAAAATATGACCGTAGTTGTAGAAATAATCAGGTTAACGAGGTTGATGAGGTCAACTGTCCATGGTCAACTGGATGTATTTATGTTTTCGACAGGGGTCTCTTCATTTCTTTTTTGTATGTCCTATGAGGGTATTCACATTTTCGTATAGCAATTGCCCTTTCCAACAAAGGGGCACTGCGCTGTTGGAGCTGACTGGATGGCCTTATTATTCAGTAGAGCATTATATCCGGACTATAAACAGCTGGCGCCAAGACTGACACGAAGCAGACGAAAAGAAATGTATCCTGTAGCTACTGCAGTAGGAGTATGTTGTCCGACCAGATGTTCCTGACTTTATTCTTTGGCTTATGGCAATTGCAAGATATTGAGCAAAGAAGTCACAGTGCTGTCCTAGCTAATCGGGCGCAGTTAATTTGTGAAGGCCAATCAAAGTCTTGTTAACCGTCTGTATGCACTTGGCAATTCTTAGTGGTTGACAAGATGAGGACAATGCAAATGGAAGATGCCTGATAAGGGTCTTCTGGTGGTATTGGCACAATGCATCTATGACCCCACCCATGTAAACTAATAGGCCATGGCCTAGATTGCTTATCAACCCTTAGCATTCGACCTTATCATTGCATAGTATGTCTGCCTAAATGCATGGCGGAAGATGCCGCCAACTTGACACAATATGGCGTTCTGTCGGTGAATACGCCAGACAAAGCGCCATAAACATGCTAGGGTTCAACCAAGAAGTTACAAGGGGCTGGCTGCCTGGTAGCTTATCCCGGAAGGTGTCTGACGTTAGTGCTTGACTCGGGCGCCCTCGATCACAGAGCCGCAAATCGTTTATCTTGCTGTCTAAACTCTAACCATATAACATGGACCATATTGCAAGAAGGAAGGCCTTCATCTGGGCATTCCCTCGTGTCTTTGGGCATCACCCGTAGCTTTGAGCCTAAGACTCATATTCAACTCTTTTAGCTAAATTCGTTGCTAGCACCCTGACAGCGCAGAACTGGCAGACTTTGTGCCTATAGCCCCCAGCAAAGACCACTCTGGGCAGGGGTTTTCTTTTTGCGCAAAATGCCTTTCACCACCGGCAAAGAAAACTTACTCCAGCTGAATCGGAATAGCTTCGACTTCAACCTACAATTTGAGCAGCTATTCTTCTCCATCATACCGTCGGCATTATTCATTGTCACGTCACTATGGCGGACGGTTTGTCAATTTCGAAAGCCTGTAGTTGTGAATGCTCCCTTATTCCAGCTAATAAAATTGGTAGGTCCTCCCCGATACCCTACAGGTAGAAAGAAAGATGATCATGAGATTGACTATCGCAGGGTGCCATCACGACCTATGTGGGTCTTGAACTGTCCCTGCTCGTCCTGGTCGCGGTTGGGTCATTCCAGGTGACCACAATGTTCATCGCTTCTTCAATCCTCAACCTCGTATCGGCCCTGTTCATGATAATACTTGGTGTCTTGGATCATAGCAGAAGTCCGAGGCCGTCGACACTACTGAGCAGCTACTTGTTTCTGACTTTCCTCCTGGACGCGGCTCAAGCAAGGACTTTGTTCCTGTCATCAGACAATAGAATCGAGATCAGCTATAGTAGTATATTCAGTGCTGCCCTAGCCCTCAAGGTATGTATTTTACTACTGGAAGCTCAAGAAAAGTCCAGATGGATAGATTGGGACGAAAAGAAGCACAGTCCAGAAGAAACAAGCGGTATATTCTCGCTTGGTGTCTTTTTCTGGTTGAATAGGATGTTCTTGAGGGGGTATAGGAAAGTCCTGGCGACCGAGGATCTCTATCCTCTGAATAGCTCCTTTGATGCTACGTCGCTCAATGAGGAGTTTTCCAGGAACATGGACTATTCAAAGCTCAAGGGCGATAAGTTTGGCCTTGTGAAGGTACTGGTGCGGACATTGAAAGCCCCCCTTCTTTTGCCCGTATATCCACGCCTTGCTTATCTTGCTTTTACCTTTTGTCAACCACTTTTTCTTGAAAAGCTGTCGAACTTTTTGTCCCAGCCCCGACTTGATGCGAACACTGGATACGGATTCATCGGTGCTAGCTTGTTGATTTATTCCGGACTGGCTATTTCGTGGGCATTCACATGGTATGATGACCCGGAAAGCATGCTGACACTAAAATGGACTACTCATACGTTGGTGTAGGTATTTCCATCACCGGATGCGTACTATGGCGACGTCCATGCTTGTCACAGAGATCTACAAGAAAGCAACAACAGCGCGTATCGGAGCTGGTGATGACAATGCTGTTTTAACACTGATGAGTACAGATATGGAGCGGATCAAGATGGGCTTGAGATCGTTGCACGAGATTTGGGCAAGCATCATCCAAGCTGGTCTGGCTGGGTGGATGTTGTATACAAGACTTGGTGTCGTATTCGTCGCACCTATGGGTGTTGTTATTGTTTGCTTCTCTGGTTTGGCTATTTTAACCAACTTTACTGGAGACTCCCAAAGAGCCTGGATGGCAGGAGTTCAGAAACGCGTGGGCCTCACTGCTACAGTCATTTCCAGCATGAAGAACTTGAAAATATCTGGTCTATCTGCGGCCATTGGTGACTTCGTGCAGAGGCTTCGCGTTGAAGAATTAGCGGCGGGTGCCCGCTTCCGCCAGCTAGCCATCACTGCGGCCCTCCTTGCCTATATTCCACAATTGATGAGTCCGCCACTGACCTTTGCCTTCACGACACGAACTCTCGATGCGACAAGGGTGTTTACGAGCCTGTCTTTTCTTACTCTCTTGACCAGCCCATTTTCGCAAGTTTTCCAATCTATTCCTGGTCTTGTCTCAGCAATAGACTGTTTGGGCCGCATACAGGCCTTTCTGGAGTGTGAAACTCATCATGATTTTCGCCAAGTCTTCGCTAACATAACGAGTGAGACGGAGAAAGCGAGAGGAAATGATAAGAGCGTATCCGATGGGGGTCTAGATGGTCTCCACCATGTGGAAATCAAGAACGGTTGGTTTGGTTGGGAGGCAGACAAGTTTGTCTTGCGAGATGTGAGTACCCAATTGCCTACAGCCTCGCTCACTATCGTCGTGGGACCTGTTGGCTCTGGTAAATCTACGCTTTGCAAAGCACTGCTTGGAGAAATCCCTTTCAGCAAGGGCAATGTGGTCATAAGCACTATGGCTACTCATGTTGGGTTTTGCGATCAAACTGCGTTCCTCTCAAATGGGACCATAAAGGAGAATATCGTCGGCTTTTCTCCTTTCAATGAAGCGAGGTACGAAGAAGTCATCGACGCGACAGCTCTGAAACACGATATTGCCACGCTTCCTCAGGGTGACGAAACTAACATTGGATCTGACGGGATCGCTCTATCCGGAGGCCAGAAACAGCGTGTTTCTCTTGCACGAGCTCTATACCTGCATTCCGAGCTTTTGGTATTGGATGATATCTTCAGTGGTTTGGACGCAGACACAGAGGAGGAAGTATTCAGAAAAGTCTTTGGGCCGGATGGCCTGCTCCGACGACGACGCTCGACAGTTCTCTTATGCACCCACAGTATCAGACATCTCCCTGCAGCGGATCATATAATAGCACTTGACAACGGCTCTGTCGTTGAGCAAGGTAGTTATGCCACGCTGGCAACAAGGCAAGGATATGTTCAGCGTCTAGGATTAACGGAAACTCGCAAAAGCGATGTGACAGATGAGAAAGTGCCATCGAAAAGGACAGTACGGAGCTCTAAGAACGACATTCTAAATAGAACAATATCTATCACTTCGTCTTTGGGATCCAATATGCAGCAATCACGGCAGTTAGGCGATAAAGCCGTATACAGGCATTACTTCAAGAGGATGGGGTTGCTTGTAGCCGCATGCAGTGTGATCTTCGCCGCTCTGTGGGGGTTCTTCATTAACTTTGCAACTGTTTGTAAGTGCAGTTCATATTTTGGTTACAGAACGCCATATGGATTGGTTTTCTGACTCATCCTCGTGGTGCAGGGCTCACCTACTGGTCCGATGATATTGGCTCCGAACGGCCGGCGCATTCTTCCGCATACTACGCTAGCATATACGCTACGTTCCAAATATGCTGCATGATATCCCTGCTTGTCACGGCCCTTGCGCTTCTCATTATCTCTAGATAACTATTAATATAAATATAATTTTTAATATAATTAATTTATTATTCCAGTCTTTGATAGCCTATATACTTTTAATATTAAGATAAATCTTGAGCTTCTCAAAACTCAAAAGTTACTATAAAAGAAAAAAGCTTCTAGTATTTTAAGATATTATAAAAGATCTTATCCAGACTTAAGAGTATACTAGAAACTATAAATAATATATTAATAATAGGATTTTACTGGCAGTAAAAATAAAAGATCTTTTTAAAGATAATTTAATATTTAAAATATTAATTAATATTATTATCTAGCCAGATATTTTTCTTGAATTTTTTAAGTTTTAATATAAGATCTAGAATTATTATAATTATATAGATATAGCTTTCAGCCTAATAGATCTAATAATAATATTTATAAAACTTTTGATATATATTTTCTAAATTCTAGAAGATTTTTTTTTCTAGAATATCTACTTCTATGCCAGCTGATTAATAAATTAATTAAAATAATTAAAGAAATTATTATAAATATTATAGATCTTATAAATTATAGGCCTACTATTCTCTGATAGATAAAAGATAAAAAAAAAAGATATAAAAATTGAAATAAATATTCTAACTGCTTCTATTTTATTAAAATAAAATAAAGATAATTAATATTATTGTAATCTTAGTACTGGATAAAATTTTTAATAACTAAATATAATTTAATTATATAATAAAATATAAGATAGATTAAGTTCTATTAGATTTTATAATTAAAAAAAAGATAATATATTAAAGTAAACTCCAGTTACTGAGTAAGCTGAAACTTTTTCTGGTATTAAAGACTTATATTTATAAAATATATAATCTTCTAAATTTATAATCAAGAATCAGAGAAGTAGATAAAAGATAATAAATAAAATATAAAAGTTATCTATAAAAGTCTTATATAAAATATTTTAGAAATTATTTATAAAAATTTTATATATCTTATCTTACAGTCCATGGAATAGAGTGGTTAACGGCCAGGGTAGGGTAGGTTAATGGAAAAATTTATACCTGCCGTCAGGTTAATGGTTAGATATAAGAATTCTCTTAACCATACAGTTAAGGATAGGTTACAGTTAAAAAATTACTTTAACTGATCTTAACCACTGGTTAGGAAGGTCAGGTATGCTCAGAAGATTAATAACTGTAGATTAATTAATAATTTATACAGAGTCTTTATAAGAATAATATACCAGTGGTAATATATTTTTAATTACTATATTATTAGAACAGGTATTAAATTAGTTATTAATTAATAATAATCTGATTTTCTAGCTAGCAGCCAGCAGCCTAGTCACTCCCGCGTTAGGCTTTTACAGATAATACTAGGAATCTGAATATAATTAGATTAGATTACTAGAGAGAAATATATTAATTATTATTTAAATTATTCTTTATATTATCCTAGTCGGTGGTCATGATAATAAAGAGATTATATAATCTAAGTATCTATTTATATCTAGATACATGTAGAGTGGTTAACGGCCAGGGTAGGGTAGGTTAATGGGAAAATCTATACCTTCCGTCAGGTTAACAGTTAGGTATAAAATATATATATACCTAACCAAGGTTAACCGCGGTTAACCTGATTTGCTGATCCCTTCCTATTTAGGAAGGCGGTAAATAATAACAATATATTTTCTGCCTGATTTCTGCCTAAGCTAGCCTAATATAGTTAGATTAATGCCTGATCCTGCCTGATTTCTGCCTGATCAGGTATAACGGTTAACCGCGGTTAACCGTTATACCTGACGGTTAATAGATTTTTATACCTTAACCTACCCGTCAGGTTACGGTTAAGGTTAGGTTAAGGTATAACGGTTAGGTATAACCACTCTATTATCAAGGTTGTCTATATTCTTATTCTTATTAATATAGAAGATTGTTATTAGCTTATTATCTTCTTAATTCTTAACTGTGAATATAATAGAATCCAGAAAAAAATTATTAAGAATATTCTGATATTCCTCAGTAATGGTAAAGTAATCAGTATATATCT